TATGGTAACATATCGTATGTTACGATCGCCATACTTTGTTTTTAACCCATCCTTAGCTTGCCCTAGACCTAATCTTACTGAAGCCATTGCCTTACCGTTACTACGCTTTACTCTATTCCTATCTATAAGCTGTTGTTATTCTGCCGAATCATACGGTATCTTTAATCTACCTATAGCGTACCCTGCCCACCCTACTCCTACTTTTAACGTACCCTACCCAATTTTTTTACCCTACCCTACCACGAACGTAGGGTAGGGTAGAGTTGTGCAGGGTAGGGTAAGGTAGGGCAGGATAGGGTATGGCATGGTTTAGTAAAGTGTGTTAAAGTAGAGCAGGGTACGGTATTTTATCTTATACTCGATTGTGTGGTAGAATAAAGCTATTGACTTACAAACTTATTTTTTCACTTTCTCCCAAACTCATTACCTGAAAGCGTGTCCCAACTTCACATAAAACCTCAACTCGGTGTGCTTGTGTTGATTCACGCTTTTCCAGGCCCATTTTAACGAAAATTTATAACTAACCTTTGGCTTTTGAGGTAGCCGCGCTAATGTTTTTTCTTGGGAATTTATAAAAGCAGACGACGAAAGTGTGGCTGCTTAAGAGTACATTAGGGTGCCGTCTTGCGACTATACATTTTTTGTTACGCGACTACTGATTTTATGGCATTTTTTGAAAATATTTCGAAATTTGAACGGAAAAGTTTTGCGGACAAACTTTATTTTGATTTTTTATTTGGTATTTCTTAATCTGTCTGGGGTGAAAGGTTTGGAATCGTTTTTTGTAATCTTTTTTGGTCTTGATTATCCCATGACAATACCTTCTTATTCGGGTAGGAAGGGTATGGAAGGATCTACTTTTTGTTGTGATAAAGGTAAAAGTGTCTTCTGTTTTCTTCCTGACTCCTTTCAGAATGCGGCCTCGTCTCAAAACACTATTTATTACCTAAAAACTAATGTTTGTATTAATACTTTTCTAGTCTCAAAATGAAAAAAACAAATCTGATGTTTGACCGTAACTTACCTATCCTTTAACATAGCCCTACTTTGCTTTTTAATCGCCAAAATTATTGATTCATGGTATAATCGTTGGGACAAAGAGCTTGTTTTTATAACTTTACTCTATTGAGGCGATTTAATGAGGTGTCAGGTCGTAAATATCGTAAGACAATAAGATATGCTAATTTTGGAAAGGTTGTCTGGTTTTACATGATTCGACACGACATGAGCATATTGTAGTGTCAGGGTGGGGATTAAGGGTTTGATAGGGGTTGGTGGTGGGAGTAGGGTACGACGAGGTAGGGTAAGAGTAGGGGAGGGCAAGGAGGGTGAAGTCGGTAAGTGATCTGGTAGGATAAAGGCAGGGTAGGTTATGCTAAGTTAGGGTAGCAGTAGCTGAAAGGTAAGAATAGGGCAAGGTATGGTAAAGGTAAAGCGATGAGTTCAGCAAGAGTAGGTCTAGGGTAGCGCTAGGCTAAGGTTTTTAGTATTTTGGCCTGGTCTGTTGACAAAACTTTGACCTTTACTACAAAACTTATCATAACTACCGTAATCTCACTATAGCTACTGCGCGCACCAAAAACTCATTGTAACGGCACTAACGACGCGATTAATAAGTAGTAATGGGCATTCGAAAGTCTTTGAAGTTATGGTAGGCTTCAGATGCCTTTAATGGATGAGAAAAACTTTTTTTGAATATTTATGAGTGTTGTAATAAGTAATGACTTCTGTTAATGGGCAGGTGATGACTCTGATGCTTTTTTTGAATTTATGTTAACGTATGTGTTTCTGGCGCTTTTAGGGGTTCATGGTTTTTGAAATTACTTTGAAATGATACAGTAGCCGTTTCTGTCGTATATTTTGTTAACTGTTGCGTTACACAGTAAATATTTAGGTTTCAGGCCAATAGGCTATAGATTTACAGCTGTTTTTGATGTTATTATAGCATTCTCGTAGGAGTAGCGCAAAGCTTAAGAAGGGCAGGATAAGGTAGGGTAGACTAGGGTAGGGTAAAGCAGGGAACAGAGTAGTATATTCTGGTAGTAAATTTTTTTTGGTTTTCAATATATCATTTTACTCTACGTTTTACCTCACAGTAGCTCTACCTATCTAATGTTCCTTCATATTTTTGATCTTTTCGCCTTTTCTCTTTACTATGTTATTGTGTTTGCTTCGAAATTTGGCGATTCAAAAAAAGAAGCGAGCTCCAGCAGTGACCATGTTGCCGAAAACTCATCAATCCTCTAGAGTCAATTTTTCAATTTTTGTCTCAAGGACCACCAGGTAGTTCGAAATCTTTTTGAAACAGAAAATTGCTTTTTGAATTTGAAGAGGTACGGTACTCAAGTTTATTAGGGAGAACGGTTTAAATTTTAAGGAAGGTTTGGGAGGGGTAATTAGAGAGGGGGGGGAGGGTAAGGTATATGATAGGTAAGGTAAGGCAAGCTCGGTGGGGGAATTTAGAGTAAGCCCCCCTTATCCTAGAAGACCATGACATTTCCTATCCTACGCTAACTTTTTTTATAAAAAATTTTTTGCCTTGTAGAATGAATGAAACCAAATGTTATGTCATACCAGTTGAAATTTCAAAAACTAAATTTGAATTTAACACGAGATCATTAGAAATGTAAATCTTCCTCAAATTAGCGATTCGTCGGAATCTTCAGAATCCCCATGGGTAAAACACTAAAGAGAATATTTGGATTTGATGGACTGTTGCGCAGCGATTCAAGTCTTAATCGAATAATTAATGAGCTTGTTTTGGCAGCCTTTTTGAATAGTAAGGTAGTGTTTTCAATTGGCAATTTGAGGCTTAGTATGAGCTTTGTTATTGTAGTATATCGGTATTGATTACTGTTAACATTTGAGGTTTTACTGCCTGATTAGAGCAGAATATGCTGATTTTATACAAATTTATATGAAGTTGTTCAAATAATTCTGAGCCCTTTTTCAACGTAAATTGTATGGGTTGGGGGCACAAAATTATTTGAACAACTCAATAGCATACATATTGAGCTTTGTAAAATAGTTCTTAATCCACTTATAAATCAAATATAGAGCCCTAATATTCCTACTGTATATAAGCTTCCTACCAGTCAGTTGTAAAACCACTGTCCAAGACTTGATTCTCGACTGTAAATCTCGAAATTTTATGCCTTTACTGACCCATTTCCTTTTGTTTTTCTGCCGCAAATTTCGCGATTTTTATATTGCCATGGTGGTTATGGCTGAAGACGAAAATGGGCGGGGTAGCCAAGGGTAGGGGAGAAAAACAGGTGCGCAGCGTCTCCGCACTCTTTTTGCGCTCTTTTGGGTTCTCTTTCTTCTTGGCCCGCCGACTATGTTGTTGATAGTATTGGCTATCATATGTAGCTATGTTGATAGTACTGGATATATAATAGTATGGCTCTTCTGATAGTATTGTCTACCGTACATCGTTACGTTGATAGTATTGGCTATTGTAAATATATAGCTATGTTGATAGTATTGGCCTTCAACAATGTATTGGTGGGATATGGTTTTTTTGGGCATTAGGCGATTGTAAGAGGGTGTAAGATGTATTGAAAAAGTTAGATCTTGCTTCTTGTGGCGTTTAAGGGCTTTAAAATACGGTAAAATGAGGCTACTTGGCCTTCAACGATGTCTTTATTTCTATATTATCACTGACAAAGTTACATCTTAAATTATTTGGTTTGTACTTTAAAAAAATTACTTTTTAAAACATTTATAACAAAGTTTTATACTTTATTGTCTATACAAAACTTAAAAAACTTCATTCGAATGTTTCTACTTCCGCCAACCCGCAGTAAAACAATCCTCAACATCTTCTGGTCTTACCCTGCCCTATATGTAACAATAGTAAACCAAACTTTTCTCATAAACGTCAATAGATCGTATATGCATAGCCAAGTTTTTTGTTACGTAAAAAGCGCCCAACTATAACCACATCAATTTATGGCTTACATAACGACTCGACAAGCAAGTTTATCCGCCGTTTGGGCGATGGTTTTGATGCTTGTTGGTGTTAATGACACGTTTTTGGTTGTAAATCGTTAAATTAATCGTCGATGAGTTGTGTCTTCTTCGTGTCAACTGTGTTACGTGTTATATGTGGTCTTGTTTATTTTTTGGGCAAAAAAATCTGTCTGAAATCAAAAAGGGATCAGATGTATAGGTTAATATAATTTGAACCGAAATTTCCCAATGACCTTTCAATATTAAAGCTTGATATTTCAGTATTATATTACTATTGCTATCAGCTATCTGTACACCAAAATTTTCACTTCTTCCATTACTACATCTCGAGTATTATCTTATCAAAATTAAAACATCAAATTTTTAGACTGTAGCTACATTTTCGATTAAATTCACTTTTTTTTGCTATACCATAACCAATATTTTTTGAATCAAAAAACAACTTTAGGGTCCCTAATATCCATACTCATTCGAAATTAAAGTGTTGGAGGTGATGGCAATATAAACACATCCGGAGAAAGAAGGGGATGTCCCCATCGATTTGATGGATTTGCCGCCGAATGCGCAAATTCTCTTTTTTGTTTCCAAAGCGTTCGTTTCGCTATTTCAAATTTTGCCTTGAATAAGTTATTAAGCCTAGTTTACAGTTTTTGACAAGCTTTGCAGTAGTCTCCTCCCTTTTTTAAAGTTGAGAATAAGGATTAGTGAAACTTTTGTTTTGGCGCGAAATTTTCGTTTGAACAGGAAAATAAAAAGATTTTTCGGATATTTATGGATGTTGTGGTTTCTTCGAGCTTTTGAAGTTTTTAAAGTGTTATGTCTTGTTACTTTCATCTTTTGTAGCTTTATAAAAGCTGTCTAATTAATATGCGTGTTTTACTTTATCTTTTTATTGCTTTTTCAAGCCTATTTGACCTTGTTTTTCAACGTGAACTGTCCGCGCTCGAAGAAACTAATATTTGAAGTAAAAATAAACGTAAAATAATAGATTTTATTAATTTCAGATAGTACTTATTATGGGTTCAATGCAGGAGTATGCTCAAGCATTTAGGGATTTAATTTTTCGTGCAAAACATTCAATAAACTTAGACATCCAACACAGAAGAAAGGTCTCATACAACAATGATTTGGCTCAAAGTCTCGAATTTCTTCGGTATTTCTTTGACGGATCCAAAACAGAATCACAAAGGCAGCTTCAGAGGCAGTGTTGTAAGTTTTTAAGTGTTTTTTGTTGTGTTATTGCTTTAGGTATTGATCTGAATGCGTGGAAGTGGAAATGAGGTTTTTGAAGGTTTAGCGAAGGTTGATGTTGTATTGCTCTGGTTTTTACAACTTAACTTATTGTTTAAAAGACACTTTTTTTAATAAAAAATCTTGTTTTAGTTATACTACAACTCACAGCAGAATTGGCCGTAGTGTCAGCTCCGGTTCAAGATGACAATTCCATGGTTCCTATTCGGAAATACATTGCCTACATTATCAGAAATCTGACTTGTGGTAAATTTGATGCAAAAATGCTGTTGGTTAACAATATAGCATTCATGGAATGCGTTGATAGCTTCATCAAGGGATCTATTTTATTGATCAAGGTGAGTTAATGGTTTTTTTACTTTTTAATTTTTTTATTACATAAGTGTTGTCTGCTAGAACAAAGAGTGTTTTTAAGTCTGATAAATGCACTAATTTTCAATAATCTTTTTATTATAGCCATGGTGTGACGTCCTCATTAACATGACCTATTACCCTCATTTACAACAACGTCCATCTCAGACAAGTATACGAGTTCTATCAGATCGAGTCAATGTGATAATAGATGCCATTTTGAGAGTTAACAATGAAAAACAACATCCTTTGAATCGACCATCTTCACTCGGATCAGTGTCTTCGAATGGTTCGTCGATAAATTCAGAAGAATATGATCGCGCGTTCACGGCGGCATTCGCCGTTCTTTGGAACATCTTATTGTTGGCACCTGTCAATCGACGAAGGATTTGTTTAGACGATAAGTTGATGAAGATTATATTGGACAATACTACGCCGGAAAAGTGTCGAACGCCGCTTGGGCCGCCGGTTACTTCTGTTTTGGCTTTGATCACGGGTAGGTTAATATATTTTTGATGGATTAAAGGCAATTTCTTAAGGGAAATAGCGGTCAAATTATTAAGAACTTAATTATAAATGTTGTTTTAAATTAAATTTTCTAAAATCGGATGATTTAAGCTTGTAATTTAATTTATCATTTGGCTTTAGAGCCCCCATACGTTCACAACTTTTCGTCTCGAGCTCTTCGTCGTATAAATGAAGTCATTGCTCCATTAATTCAAGCCAATCAATCTAAAGACATTCTCACCAACGCTCTAAAGTCAATGTACTACTGCGTACAATATTCAACGGAACATCAAGCTACTGTCTCCATCTACCGCAAGTATATGGAACAATTGGACCGTGATTTGGTGGAAATTGGTCGCCAAATGGACATGACTAGAGATACCAGAAGCCATTGGGTATATGCCTGCGAGTTTGTACAGAAACTAAAGCTATACAGTCGAGAATATTGTGGCGCTTTGTCAAACTCAACCTCTTCTGTCGATTCACATCTCTTCGATTCACCGTCACCGTCTTCAAGTGAGGAGAATGTTGATTTCACTCCACCATCACCGGTGGAACGTATATTGCGTAGAAGCGATTATTCTGGGCCAGAATGCTCAAGGAAGTACAATGAGCAGTGTCTGTCATCAACGCCGACTCGAGCTGGCAAAATGCTTAGTGGTGCGAGGAAGAGAAGTTCATCACCTATGGAGTTTCAACGAAGGAAAGGGATGATTCATCGCCAACCTATGGGTACTAGAGTTTTGGGAGACAAACAGCCTATCTTTAATAGCCAAGAGGTTTATGCTCAGCCTAAGAAACGGATTATAAATGGGTAAGTTTAGTTTATTAGCTTTTTTTTCGACTAATTTCTTTATTTGGCTTGAACGTAGTTTAAAACCTAAAAACTTCAAAAAAAAGGCTTAAACTTAAAAAAAAGGCTTAAAATACATTTAAAAGGCTACGAAATAACTGAAACATTATTAGCTACGTTTAATTACAAATGGAAGTAATATTTTTAGCTAAAAATATTGACAACCTTATTTTAGATTCATCCGCAACGATTTAGTTCAAAACCAATTTGACGTCTTTTCATCGGCCGAAACCGCTTCTACTTCAATATCGAACAATGAAATGTGCGCGAGGATGAGGCATGCTCGTGTAATGCACTTGTCAGATTCTTCCAACATTACCACGACTACTACAACATCTCCAGACGACTCACCGTTGACTTTGTACGAGAATCAGAGGTACTTGATGAAAGGCTCTGGATATAGTGATTATAATGATGGAGAGTGAGTTTTTATACTTGTTTTGTTGTTGGTTTATCTTGTTGATGATATGGGGAAGGTGTAGTAACTTTTTGTTAAAGTAGAGAGGGATAGTAATTTAAATTTTTTTTCAATTAATTCTGGGCTACCTATCAAAGCAAGTTTTTTGATTTAGGAGCACAGAATTAAATTATTTGTACAACCTAATACAAGGGAAAATGTCCTAAAATTTATTCAAAAACTTTGACTTTCGTCTTTCAGAACCAGCGACTCCGCTATGGTCCACACCACCTCAAGTTCTTCGAATGGATCCTCAGGCAAGTCCAACTCAACCTTAGGCAACTCACATCACAATTCCACACTAAAAGCACCCCAAATGGAATTTAATGACAATGTAGGCTATTATGAAAATGAAGATGTAATCAAAAGTGCGGCCGAAAACAAAGAAAACACTCCTGCCGAAGAGCTGGATGCCACAATCTTCATGAACACATCGGAACTGAGAAATGACACTGAAGACTCACTGAACACCAGTATGATGGCAGAACGAGCATCGCTTTGTCCAGCCTTAAGATCAGTCAGCTCTTTCTCAGTCCAATCCGAGGAAATCTCACCGAAAAGCGAGTGTAATATCGTGGTGAAGGAGAGTGATATCGAAGACTCGCCAAGCCAATGTGCTCAGAGGTTGTACGAGATGGAATTGTAAGTTAATTGTGGCATTATGTTGGAGTTTATCGCAATAAAATGAGGTTGAATTTTATAAAAGTTATAAAAAGTTGGGATTTGAAGTGAAAAACTGGAAGAATTGGGGTTTTTATAGTGAGACCAAAGATGATGGTTCATGTATTGAAATATAACCAAACATTATAATGTTATGTTATAAGGACTGTGTAAATGAACTTACTTTTTAAGTTTAATGTTTGAATAATAACTTTTGGTTTAAAACCTAATCTTTTGAATTTTCAGGGCAAACACTCCAAAGTCGGTGCACACCGTAGCCACAATCAGAAGAACCGACCAGTTTATGGCGATTCAAAGCTCGACTATACAAACTGACATTTAACTACATTTGTGAAGCTGTATATGGTTGCATATTGATCTACGATGTACTATTTTTTTAAAATTGTTAATGATCAACTATTTCACTTTATGTGTCTTCATGTTAATGGTCAACCATGTCTCTTCATGATGGTATATGTCAGTATATCGTGGTAATTAGGCTCGACACCGAACATAGTCAAAGCACCGGTTCTTCAAAGGAGATTTCACTTAAATTTTTAATTGTTATATACAGTTTTTTTACTTTACAACTTGTAAATTACAAGACCATTAAGAATATGATGAAGTATGATTCTTAATAGTTCTTTACTATCCTAAATGGTACTATGGATGTTTTTGTAAAATATTTGTTTATTGTTGTTAATCGAATGTTTTGTGGCACTAACTAAATATTATGTTGTTCAGATAATTTTGTGCCTCTTCCCTCTCAAAGCAAATCTTCTGGATTAGGGAGCCCAGAATTATTTGAACAACCTAATAATTCTAATTAAGGTCTCTAATGTTTAACATTGTACACTACTTTATATTTTTATAGTTTCTTACAGTATATTTGTCCTACCTTATGTTTTGAGTGTTTTTTTAGCTATTTTTATAAAGAAAAATATTCTTTTTTCATAACAAGATATTTGTACATTTTTACTCAATAAATTGTTTATATTCTTAGACCTGTAAAGAGTCTCGTGATTGTAAGACAATTTTTTACTCAACAAATTAAAAAATTATGATTTTTTAAAAATTCAATTTTAGCCCTATATTCACCCTCGCACTGAGCAAAACAAACTAAAAACCCTTTGATTATTTCCACTGCACTGTGCAAGACAGAGTTGGCGCACTTCAAAACCCGCGAAAAACCTTTTTTTGTTTTTCCCCACTGCACCGTGCAAACCCCCTTTTCGATGGCCCGAATTCCCTTTTCAAAGATCGAAGGATTTTTGGCAAATTCGGCGATCTCAAAACCCTAAAATCTGGCCGCTTTTGGTTTTCTCTAACGTTCTCTAGGCACTCTCTCTGTCGCAGTGATCTATCTTTTGTCGCTGATCTGTCTCTCTGTTTCTTTACACTTGCGCAGTCACTTTTCGCAATCCTGCCTTTTCTCTGACAATTCTCCGCAAACCTCAATCTCTCTCTTTTCTTGATTGCACCGTGCAAACTGTTGGCCAAAGTTCCATTTCAAAGATGGAAGAATTTACGACAAATTTGGTGATCTCAAAACCCTGAAAATCTGGCTACTTTTGGTTTTCTCTAACCTTCTCTGATCAAACTCTCAAGTCGCAATACTCTTTGTTTGTCGCAAGTCTACCTCTCTTGTTTTTGACACTTGCGTAATCACTTTTGGCGGCCCTGCATTTTCTCTGATCATTCTCCGCTGATCACCCTGTCTCTCTTTTCTTGATTGCACCGTGCAAACCCCTTTTCGATGGCCAAAATTCCCTTTCGAAGATTGAAGGATTTTCCTCAAAAATCGCAAGACTGATCGGAACCAAAAAAGGATTTTTGACCAAATTTAGCTTGCACGGTGCAATGAAAGGGGAGAAGAGAGAGAGAGACTGTGATTTGAGGAGACGAGGAAGAGAAAGAAAGGAATCGCGAAAAGGTGTTGCGCAATTGTGAAAATCAAGAGAGAATTGACATGCGACAAAGAGAGAGTATTGCGATTTGAGAGATTGATCAAAGAAGGTTAGAGAACCAAAAATGGCCAGATTTTTGGTTTTTGCGATCGCTAAAATTGTCAAAAATCTTTCGATCCTGAAGGACGGAATTTTCGGCTATCGAAAACGGATTTGCACGGTGCAATCAAGGAAAGAGAGAAAGGGAGACCTGTGGAGAGTGGTCAGAGAAAAAGCAGGACCTCGAAAAGTGATTGCGCAAGTGTAAAAAACAAGAGAGGTAGACTTGCGACAAGCAGAGAGCGTTGCGACTTGAGAGATTGACCAGAGAAGGTTAGAGAAAACCAAAAGTAGCCAGATTTTCAAGGTTTTGAGATCGCCAAATTTGTCGAAAAGTCATCCATCTTTGAAAGGGAACTTTGGCCATCAGTTTGCACGGTGCAATCAAGAAAAGAGAGAGATTGAGGTTTGCGGAGAATTGTCAGAGAAAAGGCAGGATCGCAAAAAGTGTAAAGAAAAAGAAAGACAGATCAGCGACAAAAGAGAGATCACTGCGATAGAGAGAGTGCGTAGAGAAGGTTAGAGAAAACCAAAAGCGGTCAGATTTCCAGGGTTTTGAGATCGCCGAATTTGTCAAAAATCCTTCGATCTTCGAAAAGGGAATTTGGGCCATCAAAAAGGGGGTTTGCACGGTGCAGTGAGGGAAAATCAAAAAAGGGTTTGCACGGTGCAGTGGAAAAAACAAGCAATTTTTTTCGCGGATTTGCGCTGCGCGGCCTGCGCATTTTGTTGGCAGATTGCGACTGATAACTTGTATATTTGAGGAGATATTTTTGGTTTTTTGGGTCTTGAATTCAATTTTGTGATTTCTGGCTTGATCTCGGAAAAGATTTTAAAAATTTATTTTGTATTGTGCGATCGTTAAAAGATATTTTTTGCGGGTTTTGACTATTCTGCAGCCTGCAGAAGATGGTTGGGAACCTGGCCAACAATTTTGAATTTCTTATAATATTATTAAAAGTCAATATTATCTGTAGGTCACATATGAACAAGAAGGTTCAAATGACTTCTTTGTGTAGTTAGAAGTGTAAGACCACAAGTTTATTTTATTTCTCAATGTATGGAATATCAGACTCAAGGAGACTAGAGTGACAAAAGATACAAAGCTTTACGTACGATCATATTAAATTTCAAGATGTTATCAATGCGCTATCGACTTGTGGATCTTAAATATGTAAGTTAACCAAAGTTTTGACTTTTAGTTTTTTACAATTGTAGTTGTAATTTATCGCAGACGTACAGTATAATTACAACTATACACAGTCGTAATTATACGGTAAGTCAACGGCTCAGAATCTCGTTGGGGTGATGTGAATTTAATTATAATGTAATTAAAGCATTAAAACACGATTTTGAGACTAATTGATGTGTTTTAAAATAACTAAGTTCTATATTTAAATGATTTAAATCGATCACAAGATTACTGTAACAGACGATACGTATATTTGACTTTTAGACTAGGATGAATTGATAATTAAGTTTTAAATTTTTGCTTGCCAACTGCCAAGCCTACTACGGTAAGGTAGGTAGCGTATGTTGGGGTAAGGCAGGTTAAGCTCCAGTTTATTTATAGCCAGGCTAGGTAGATTCAATTTTGAGTAGCCCCTGAAAGCTAAGTCGGCTGAAATGCAGGTTTGACCATAACCATATGCTATTACAATAAGTAATATCGTATGGTTATGGTCACAGCCTTTTAAAATGGCAAAATTTTTTTTTGAAGTTGTAATTGCAACATCATTGTCTACTATACTTTGGTTTTTCAAGTTAAACATCATAGGATTGGCACGGATTTTGTTGCACTTTTAACTTTTGATAATTAAAGTTACTTCCAGACGTTTTGAAATTTGTTCAAATTAATGAACTTACATATTGCTCAAGCCATGTAGAAGCATTTTTATAATAATGTAGTTTAAGTTAGGGTAAGGTAGGACAGGGTAGGATAGCTAGATCTTGTCTTTCATACCGTTTCTTCTACTGCCTTGCACATTTTTACATAGTACTACTTATCCCTCCTTCCATCTGCAGGCCAATAGTATCATAATCTGGCAGCCATATACGCTAAAGCTTGTTTATTACTGTCTTCGTGACGTTGGTATGTCGGAAATGACCGGAATACGTGACAATCATGAATACATTCGTACTTTCCCTTCCTATATGTACATGTTAAACATGTTTTTATGCAAATTGTAATTGTTGGGTGGGGGCATGCGTGCGCATGGAATTCAATTTATTTGATAGAGTTTGGGCGGTTATTTTTGGGTCAAAAAGTTTAGAGAAAATGTTTTTTGAATGTTTATAGAGATTTTGAGGTTCAAAGTTCAAAAGGTGGGAGGGGTAGGGTATGTTAGGGTAGGGTAGGGTATGGTATGTTAGGGTATGGTATGACGGGTAGGGTAGGGTAATTTAAAATTATCTACGTCTTGGAAAAAGAAATTCACTTCTCTTTTAGCCTAAATTGCCATTCTTAATCAAACCTTGTTGCAAAAAGATGCTCACAGTAATTAGCCTATTTTATAAGATGCTATGGCTTTCTTTCTTATTAAAAGTACATTATAAAAATGGGAATGCGCTTGATTATGTGTGGTCCATTAATTTCGTGCCTACTAGGCTTGAAGTGCTAAACAACACTTTTAAAAAGTCGTTTATAATTAAACAGTTTAGCTGTTTTTTGTGGCACTGCAGTTCGTTGTCACGCATGGGACCAAGTTTAATGACCGACATTAAAATTGGACTCTTTTACAGTAAAAAGGGGTTTTCAGAAATATCTTTTAAAATATAAATCAGTTTTTTTTCATTTATAGGAAAGTTGTGGCTACGGTAGAAATTTAGGTAAGGTTTAAGATTAGGATGAGGGTACAATAGGTTATGATATGCTAGCGTAATTAGGTCAGGGCAGAATAGGAAAGGTAAGGTATGGTCGGGTAGAGTAGGCGATGGTAGATAAGGGTTGATAGGGTTGCTACTAGTAATTTGCTAGGTTAAAGTTTATTTTAGATTAATGTGGGGTAGGAGAGGGTAGCGCTGGAGAGGATAGAATATTGTGCGTTAGAGTAGGGAGGGTAAATTAGGATAGTATGTATATTGTTAGTTAGAGTAGGTTAGGATAGGTTGCTAGAGTAGCCTAAGTTGATATTGTAAGTTGGAATCAATTTGTACGAAACACTTTCTATACCTCTTACTTTACGGTGTTGCACTTTAGCTCTTTAATCCTAAACTTGTTTTGACGTTAATTCTTTATGTAAATTCTTAAGAACATGTAACATGCACCTTCCGGCTTTTATTTATTTATGGTTTTTTGGGTTGCAAACATGATTGTATTTCAAAGTAATTTCTCTTT